AATCTTTCCTATGTTTTTTCTCATCAAAAGAGGGGTATCGTGGACACTGGATGAACCATTCAAACAGCACGTAAGGCCGGGTGATCAAAGCGCCTGCTCCTGCCCCAGAGCCACAGCCCCTTCCTCGAGGCTGCTGTGGTCATGAGACCACGCTGCCCTGGTCGCTGGCTGTCTCCACTTCTCAGTGTGTCTCAGGGAACGTTCACATCTGTACCGTTAGAATTGCCTCACTGACAGTGAAGGTCACACAGTATTCCTGTGCAGCCTACTCCATGACTTACATAACCCGCCCCCTGCTGACGGGCATCTGGGCTGTCTCCACTCCTGGGCTCTTGCACGCAGTGCTGTACGTCATTGGCCCCTGTGCAGAGGAGTCTGTTTACGACTCAGCCCCAGCGGCCCCTCCTGTCTTCCTTGGTGGATGTAGTGTCCGCGTTCACGGCATCGTCTTTCCGTGACCCCTAAGGACAGGGATTGTGCTGGACCCTTTCAGTGTCTGCTGCGTTTGCTCCGGTATTCACCGCCCTGCTGCCTCTGTGAGCCTTGGTGTCTTGTGGGCGCCCCAGTGGGGATGGAGCTGTGAGAGCCAGGACACCACAGGCCAGCTTCGGGCTTGGTGCCTGGCGGCTGCATCAGGTACACTAATGTGTTTCCATGGCAATAGACTTTCACAGCATCGTTCTTACTGGCCACCTACCGTTCCGCCAGAAGGATGGGCAATGATCTCGCCAGCCCCTTCTTGATGAAATTTAGCTTCAAAAATTTTTGATAAAATTTCCCTTTTAAGAAATTTTAGAGGACAGATGCTTAGGTGTCCAATGCTGAGAAAGGGTTGGGCCCCGCAGACTCCCCCCTCAAACGAGTGACAGTAGCTGCTGTTCACCGAGCACGTCCTGACGTGAGCTGGGGCTTCTCACCAAGCAAAGGGCTTGAGCAAAGGGCTTGAGCTCCGTTTTCATATGACACAGTATCCTTCTGAGTCAGCCACTGCTGTCCCTGTTTCGGAGAGGGAAACTGAGGCTCAGAGACTAAGCGACTTGGCAAAGGTCACTCAGACGTACGTTTCAAGAGCTGGGATTCCAACCCAGGTGTGCTTGACTCTGACCCGGGCTTGTAACCACCAACCGCAAGCCACACACACCCCCCTCCCCCTGGTTAGGGAAGAAGGAAATGGGGGAAGGACAGGTCACCCACCCAGGCCTGGGGCCAATGGCGGCTGCCTCAGAATGGGATGGAGGTCACACCCAGGCAGAAGATGGCCACCATCAGGCCTCACCCCCGCCACCGAGGTGGGACAAAGGGTCCTTTTGACGGGACAGTCCACGAGCACCCCTCTGGGTGCTCTCCTGCCTGGCGTGCTGCAGCCTGCTCCCAAGCCAAGTGTCCAGGGGCTGGCGGCCATTTCCGGCTCAGCTGTCTGGCCACGACTCGGAGGAGTGGTCGGAACTTCTTTCCTTGAGCAGATCACTCCTGGCCAGAACGGTCGCTTCCATTTGGATGTGCTGGAGCTGCATGTCGGCTCCTGGAGGCGCCGGGAGCCTGCGGGCCGCCCTGGGCCTCCTTCCCCAGCAGTCGGGTCTTCGACAGCGTATTGATTTTCCTCCTCCCCTTCTCTGCTTTTGCACTTTGGTTGAACCTTGTTTTCGAAGAACAGTGGAAGGTAATTTTCCTGTGCTCGCCAGCTGGCCCATAATTGAGCAATTTCAATAACACCCACTGTAAAATCTAATCGAAGTAAACAGGAAAATATGATTTACAATCTGGATGGTGAGTAAATACCAGGGTGTGATTAATTTTTACACAGAGCAGCAGATTCTAAAACATTTTCCTGCACCGAGCTGTTTGTTTTTAATTACAGATTAGGAGCTGGCTTTCTACTTACTTATTACTGTTATCATCACTATTTTTTACTTTTTGATGGTGATCGTCAGGTTCCTTGTATCTGTGTGACTTTCACTGACGGTGTACCACAGCGGTGGGATAGGAAACAATATCAGAAAAGTTCATCTGTGAGGGGTGATTTTTCAAACCTGAGCTGAAGGCTGCACTCGGCCTTTGCTTGGAGGAAGAGGATGGTGGGTCAGGGATGGGCTGTGTAGGATGACACAAGGGGGTTTCCCTTCTACGGGGAGCTCGGGGTGGTGTGGGCAGGCCCTGCACGGGCTGTGGCTGGGTTTGCCTCGTTCTGGGGGAAGGCGACAATGCTGCAAAGGCCTCCACCGTTGCAAATGTGTCATTGTGGGAATGTGGCACTTCCAAAGATAGGAGTTATGTGCCTTTAAATGGAGCCTCCTGGTTTTCATCGCCGGGCGGGGAAGTGTAAGCGCCTCGCTGACTGTGGCCCCTGCTGCCACTTGGCTGCTCAGGGGCCGAGCCCTTCGATTTTGACTCTGGGGTGGGTGCATGTGTGCCCTTCAGCCTAGGGTGGGCAGACATGGAAGCCGAAGTAAAGCCAGCTCGGTGTAAGATGTCACATGACTTGAGCACACTTGGGGGACAGCAGATTGTCAGCAACCCAGACCCTGAGATAAGTACTAAAGGCACAATGTGGCTGAACTGAGAGTTACTGTTGTACCCACTGTGGTGCTTGTTGGCTTTAGGGACCCTCCAAGGCCGGCGTGGGTGGCGGGGACTCTGAGGGGTGGTTCTGGCCTTCGGCCCGCCCAGAATGCATCTCCTTCGGCAGGGAGGCAGGTCCGTTCCTGACTGGCTTCTGGCGTGGAGCAGGGCAGGCGGCTCTCTCGGGGCCCTGGTCTGTCCCAGTCCTGAGTCCCCTCACCTTTTGTCTTTCCAGGGACTCGAACACACTCGACCATTTTCTGCAAGAGCCCCACCGAGGGTGAGCGGCTG